CCTATCTCGTTTTTCTCCTTGCTCTTTCTCTGTCAGCTGTGATGTTAAATAATGGAACACGCATGCATGCACACACCACTTGTGGATGGTAAGTCTGGTCAGCTCATTAGTACTGAATGTTTAGTGAAAACCATTAGAATGTTTTTTTGCCAGAAATAATTTGATTGACAGTGATGTTTAACCCTAAGAAGTTGCTGCAAAATGCACTTGCATTGCTCTAAAACGCAGCTTTTGGTGCTTCTAACTTGCTTCGAAATTCCCATTTTAGTTTGCCAAAGCAGTTCCAAAACAGCATTATTCCTGCTGCTTGGCCTGCTCCAAAACACTGAAGTCCACTTCCTCCCCTGGAGGAGCGTCTCAGTATTTCTCTTTAGTGTGTGCACAGCTGTCTCAATAGCCAAAGATTCCGTGTGCAAGCATGGGAATAGCTTCCTTTCAATGGCAATGATGGAGGTGTTATTTCTGGAGCCTTTTTTTTTTTTTTTTTTTTTCAAAAAAAGTGTGTGCCACATTTGCCGTAAGGGTACTTGCACCACTGACTGACACTCACATTTAAGGGCCACGTGGCCTTTAGCATTTGTAGCAATTTAAGTGCAAACGTCCAAAATAGGCATTTGTAGGCATTATAAAAACACTATAAGAGGTTTTCTTAACATCCAATTCATGCTCATATATCTCAAAGTGCCATAATAGGAACTCAAAAAACAAAATAGCCATTTGCCTATGATTCGGCCTCTTGTAATCATTTGCATTTCGAAGGTGGTACTTGATAGGCTGCATCTTCTCCAGTTAGACTTTCTACAAATCGGCTTTTCAAGGCGTGCATAATTTAAATGCCCATGTAGGTAAACGGGGAGGTAATGGTCGCCATATCTCAGTTGGTTTAGCATCAGACGCCTTATTCAAAGGTCACAGGTAGGATCCCTGCTGGGGGCAAGTTATCTTCTCGTTGGTTTTTCACATCACAGTTACTACTAATAACAGTCTATATACTAGCATTTTTGCATTTTCTGTTACTTCTCATTGATACTGTGTCTAACACAGAAAATGAGCCTTTAGATTTCTGCTCCTTTCTTCCTTCTGGAAGAAGTGTTTATTTGGTGGACTTGCACGTACAGTCAAACCACTTTAGTACGTACCCATTTTAAACAAACTAACGGTTGAAACGTATGTGTGACAACTCCTCGACTGAGCCTCATAGAAACTAGTACATCTGCAGACCGCTTAAGCCGTAGTGCCTACCAGTTAGTGCGTACCAACTGTGTTCTGCGATAACATTTTGCGCCATGTAAGTCAACTATGCTGCTGAACTTGCTGGCATCACAATGTACCGCAAATGGTTTTCCGTCATTTTGATAAGTGCGGAGGTCCACTGATCAGTTATTCCAACTAGCGGCGACGCTTTTGCAATTAATCACAGTGGAAAAAAAAAAACAGAGGACGGCACGCCACTGTTCAGAAACAGGCTGGCGGCGAAATAGTCAGCTTGCCAAAAAGACTGCCTACCTGACGGTGCTACCTAACAAAAAGGGGCGCTGGCTAGAGTAAGGTTTGTTTAAAAGAGTGCTTACCTCACGGTGCCATCCACCGAAAAGGGGCGCTTGCCAAAGTAAGGCTTGGACGACACATCAGAGGGTATTTTCGGCCAGATGTGTCTTCCGCTACTTTCAGATTTGTGTCCGCACATCTAGCGGTTATTTTCTCTTCACTAATGTGGCATGGAATGAAGTTCAACTAGCTGCTAGTGGGAGAATGGCTGCTTAAGTATGCAGGTTGTTCTGGTGGCGCTATTTTGGGCCAGTCTTCTCAATGTTTTCCTGCGGTTCGGTGACCGCCTTCCGTCCTCCTAAGTCGTTGCGGGCAACTAAAGGTTCGAGGTCGGAGACATTAACTGGACTGCCAACTTGCCTCCCTTGGGATTCAGCCAGCTTGTACACTAGAGGCGGCACTTTGGTGTACACTTCGTGAGGGCCCAATCACTTGGCCAACAGGAAGGCTGAGATGCCTATGGCCATGTCACTCAAAACGTGATTGCGTCTGAGAACGAGATCGCTGACATCATAGTGCATGACGCTGAGTGGCTGGTCGTATTGAGCCTTTTGTCCAGCTCTCACCTTTGCCAGCTCTCACATCTCAGGCGAGGGCAGCGTCCATACGTGAGCGCAGTTTAATCGCGCAGCCAGATGAGCCGGCTTTCGTGGTGCACGCCCCACTCCTGTCCTGCGTAACGCAGTTCATTGGGTTAGGCAGCTTTTTCCTGAAGTTAAGGATAGGAAGTGTGTATCTAGTCGAAGTTAAGGATAGGAAGTGTGTATCTAGTCGAACGGTTCGCAGTGTACCGCAGGAAAAGCTTATCTTATTAAGACAGGCATCTCAACCCCTGTGTTGCTGCCCAAAGGCTGTCAGTAAGGCTTGAGATTCCATTTTGTCCGGTCAGTCAGGCCGGTCTGTGTACGCGACCCAATCGGAGAAGAAAAATTTCAGAGGACGTGTTGGTACTGCGTGTTTTGATGCCAAGACGTAGGAAACGAGCGTCGCTACCGCAACGGGAGCAACATGACTGCCCGGTTTTGAAGGATGTCGGCACGAAGAGCTCGAGAAGTGGCCGTCGATCTCGGGGATGGTCGCGGGTGAAGCTGCCCGGACTTGCCACATTTTGCCCAGCAGTTCCTGGTGGACTTGCAGCTTCCCCACATCGCATTAGTAAAGGAGCAGCCCACACCAGTCAGATGAGTGGACACGTTAGCAGGGAAGTTTCTGACGAGCGGGATTTAGCAAAGCCAAAGATTGAGACTAAAAGGTTGAGATAAGGACCGGGACACTGGCAATTTGAACGAGTGGATCGTCAAGCCAACGCGCTCCCAGCGTGGCATGTGAATAGTAAGAATGTTTTATTATTGCGAGAGCGCATGACAGTAGCCACCGAGACGCCATATTGGCTAAAGACAGTATAAGGCTTAAGACTGAACTTCACTTGGATCATTGTTAGTTACAATATCGCTGATTAGTCAGTTATTGTGTACGTAGATGTTTATTTTGGGGAGTGAATTCTGAGTGTCAGGTTTCTGTTTGTCATTTAATGTGGTGTTATAGTGTGTTTGTCTTCCCACACACTCGCGTCTCTTCGTTGTCTCTCTCAAAATCATTCTTCTCAAGCGCTCCCAAGATAAATAAAATTGTGACACATCAGTGGAGGATTTTAGCGACTCGTGAGAGCAATAAGGCCTCTGTTCGCTAGCCGTACATAGGGCTGCACGATCGGGTATGCATTGAGGCACAGGGTCTCGTTTTCATTTGTCCTGCAGGGCAAAGGGGCACGCCAAGCGTAGAAGTCGTGAGCTAGTACTAGTCGAGTCGAGAACACGCGAAGTACGAGTCGAGAACGCGCTCCAACACTTGGCTGCGTCTTGTTGTTCTCGTGTGGTTGAGGCTGCCTCGTGACTAGGCAGAACACTGGGTGACGAGTCACCACCCGTCCATGCACAATGAAGCTTAAGAGAAGCGGTGGCAGCTAGCGGTAAGCTTTCGCTACCAGTATGTCGCCTTGAATACGCTTCACATTGAAGGCCAGCTTGTTTAGTTCACGATAACAGGCACTCTAAAGTTAATTGACAAAGGTTGGATGAGCTTGGTGAATAGCTCGCTCCACCTTCTCATCGTCTGATGCCATAGGATCGGCAAGGAGGTACTGGAGAAGATATTTGCCGGAGGCTGTGTTCGAACTCACAAAGCATGATGTGCTCGTAGTCAGGACAAAGGAACTTGCTCTGGAAGAGCGCTTTAAACTCCTCCATGACCGTGCTTGATTGCTGATAAGCCGATACCAGCAAGCGGCTTAGGCTTTCAGTGCAACAGGCTACACACTGCTTAGCGTTACGCTGTCCTTCAATCGCGTCACCTGCTGATAGCAGTGCAGCACTTTGAAGTACTCTGTGGCACTCATGTGGTCGGAATAACTGCTGTATTCAGGCAGAGGTAGTCATGGGCTGGTCGATGCACTTGGCTGAGGGCACTCAGTATCTTCCTTTACAGCACAAGGCTGCGAGCGCGCCGCTTGCAAGAAGGCATTGAGGAGCTGTGCCACAGTTGTGTGCAGCGGCGATCGCTCCCACGCAGGCGTGGCCGTGACAGTGTCACACCTGTTCTCCGGTGTGTACATCAGACCGAGCAGGGCCAGTAAACAGCACGGCAGAATGTAGGGCAATTGCTGCTCCTACAGGTGCATGAGGCCTCTCGCGATAGGCTAACGGATCAACCACGGAACACAGTGGCTCACGACTGCCAAAAGGGCCGCCTACGCGTGCCTCAGAAATGCGAGCATTGAGAGAAGCAGCGTCTAAGTGCGCTTCCTTGCGCACAACCCTGTCAGCCCTTTGCGCGTGTGCCCAAGGTGGGTCAGTGACCGCGTGCCTGCCGATACCTAAGTAGCCTCCGGAAAAAAGCTCGGGTGCGGCGGGTTGGGCAGTCAACTGCGCTGCCGACAAGGAAAGGCCAGAAGTGGAGATGGCGCATAGGACAAGCCCGTAAGCGTGTGCATCTCAAACAGCTGAGAAAGCCCACAACTGGCTTGGCTGGTACCGTAATCAGCATTTGAGCAGTTAACATCGCCATAGAAGGCAAAAATAGTCTTTCAAACAGTCGCTGCCCAACAGGCTGCCAAACAAAAACAGTTGTGCTACATGCACGAGGCCACACAAATAAATGTAAACAAATGTAATGAAAGCATCAGTTATGATTAAAGTAAGTAATTATGAAATGAACGGGAAGAAAGTAAAATGGGTGAAAAGACAACTTGCTGCCAGCAGCCAGACCAAACCTGCCACCTTCGGATAGTGTGCTCAATGCTTTGCAATGGCGCTGTTCGTAACCACAATGGCGAGTGTGGTATACTTGTTTTTTTTCCAGCTGGCTTTACGTAGCATGTGATAAAGTTTTTAATGAGTAGGCAGCTGACACTTTAAATAAACATTGTGCTTCAATATTGTCTCTTTTATCTGTAGGGTGGATCACCTGTCGAGTGAGTTTGCTTTGTCTGGGGTCAACTGTCAATCTATTCATGGAGACAGGTGAGTTATGTCGCTCTCTGTTTTCATCAATTGCTGCTACATGATGATCATACTTCTTTATCTGAAAGGGACCAGTGCGATCGTGAGCAAGCACTTGAAGATCTTAGGAGTGGGGCAGTGCGAATTCTAATTGCCACCGATGTTGCCGCCCGAGGTTTGGACATCAAAGATGTAACGTGAGTTATACTGTTTTAACCAGCAGTTGCACCCTAGGTATTCTATTTGCAAATTCGTCGTTTTTTATTGAGGGTGTGCACAGGTCCTTGAAACTCTTGAATGCTTTTGAAAATCAAAAGTCTCTTTTGAAGGCCCTTAAAAACCTTAAAATTTCGGACTCCCTGCCCTCCTTTTTTCAATCCTCTTCCTCCTCGGACTAATCATTGAAAATGTTCAAATTTTTTTAATGCTCAATTCGTATTTTTCATCATGAAAACTGTTTTTGGTGGTGAACTTTTGTTTTTGTTTGAGCTCTAAAATGCGGCCAGCATACTCCACCAATTTTTATATCTATTTAGCCGACTCTCATTAGGCAGCTGGCTACATTTGACAATGTGAGTCTCGGAGGCAGCATTCATCGTACACATTGTTTTATTGACTGATAATGTGACCACTGGTACAGCTAAACCCCTTTATAAGAGGCATGCTTCAAGCAGCATTTCTTGTCTTTTATACGAGATGTCTCTTATAAGCAGTGTACCTCGTATGCATTTTCTTATTAATCCATATATTACTCTAGCCGCACTGGTGTCTCTTAAACCCATTTTTCTCTTTTATCAGTGCGTCTCTTATAAAGGGGTTTGACTGCGCTAGCAGAAGTATGTGATGTGTAAAAGAGAGGCACGAGGCACGTGCCGAACGCAGAAGCGCAGCGACAGTGGGCAAGGACAAAAAAGTCACTCAGGAGCACTCGAGCCAGCCACGTAGAAGCATTGGTCGGATAAAGGCTCGGGGCATGCGATCCGAGCCGGGAAAAAAAATTTCAGAGGATGAGTTGGCACTATGCGTTGGGACGTCGAGCTGCAAAGACGGAAGATCAGCATTGCTACCACGACGGAAGCTGTAGAACCGCCTGGTTTTGAAAACGTCGGCAAAGAAGTTCAGGAAGCGGCCGTCAATATCGGAAAAATTGAGTGACCCTGCCCGGACTACAGCTCCTCCGCTTCGAGACAGAATGTATGCGGCCCGCACTGCAGTCAAGACGCATTGACGAGTTTGACGTAGTCTAACAGAGCTCTAGGCTACGATGAAGACCGGAACCAACCGGCAATGAGGTCAGACGGCTCATACGGTGATGGTTTCTAGGACGACTTTAACTACGGTATCACTTCTTCGTAGCTCTAACAGTGGCATCGAAGCAGTAAGTGTTCTACTATTGTGAGAACGCATGAGAGTGGCCACCGAGACGCCATCTTGGCTAGAGATAGATTAGGACTAAGGATTGAACTTGCATTTCATTTGTATTAGGTGCAGTTACGTTGTATAACCAATCATTGTGTGCATGTCTCTTTTTTTGAGTCAATTCTGAGTGCAAGATTGCTGTTTGCCGTTTTGTTTGGTATGATAAAGTGTTTGTCTTGACACGAGCCCATCTCTCGCGTCTCTCTTTCTAATCCATCTTTCGTAAGTGCTCCCGAGATGAAAAATTGTGACAAAAAGGTATCGGCTGGGAGCACAGTTGCCCATTGCTATCACATGTTCACTGTCTCCGTTCAACAGGGCGTCCGCATGTGTGCGCGGGTGTTAACATAGTCCTGTTTTTATGCTGCCAGCTCTTTTAGGAATGAGCATGCCTTCTATGTGTTAGTGCAAGTGGTGTGTTATGTGAAACGATTCCCGGGAAAAGTGAATTTCTGACTATGTGGCTCCACCACGATGACTGCAAAAACTAGACGGCACGGCAAATCTGCATCAGGCCAAGTGGAAGCTTTGTGGCAAAACTTTTGATGTGACTGCCATGGGCGAATCTGCTGTGAAAAGTGTCATGAAAAGTGCCAGGCATATTGGCACAGTCAAGATGGGGCATGGAAATGTGTTGAAAAGCTACCTGACGACTGTGCCAACTCATTCTCTGGGATTTTTCTTCTTGGCTCAGGTTGGGTGCCTTGAGCCTTTCTCCGCCCAATCTCTCATCTACATGTCTATCTACATGTCTGATGCACGTGCACTCGAATAACTCTCCACTCCTTCTGCTCCGCTGCCGGGCTTCCGCGCTCAGCGCGCACCCCGTGCCTCTCCTTTACTCATCACATGCAATAGCACAGTGCACTATGGCTTCTTCGTTGCAGTCGCTAAGCCTAAATGATGCTTCTAAAATTCATGAGCTTGTCACTGACACATCAATTCTTTGGACTTTGAAGGTCATCACATCCAATTTCTCGTACCTATCGTCATCCGAAGCAAAGAGTTATTTCGATGCACGTTCTCGGACAGCGAAGTGGCAAAAGTGTTTTCTTGTAGCGAGGAGAAATGTGCCTATGTGACATGTCATGGTCTCGGATATTTCTTTTTAGGCCTTGCAGTAAGAGATATAACAATGTGAATTCTTCGTCGAACTTTTTAATCAGTCAGAAAAATGACCACCTGCACAGTAAGCAAAGGGATGTACATGTGAGGTCTTTGGACTCCGCTTAGAAAATGTTGACTAGGTATTATACCTCCATTTTTCTGGGCCATTCTATAGCAAGTGATCTTCAGGAAAGGTTGCTAAGCTTGCTTGAGCCACTGCCCCTGGCGAAAATTCCTTAGATATAAATGGACAGTCCCAATGTGAATCTGAAGTTCTCCAAGTGCTCTTGCAAGAAGATAACCAAGTTAATTGTGTGGACTTAAGCTGTTGTGGACTTTCCACAGACAAAGGTGAGACAGCTGCGCATATTGTGCATTTTTGTTTACTTGCGCCAAGCTGCTCTAAAAGGATGAAAATCATGAAAATTGCACCGAACTGCTCCAAAACATTTACAGCCTCAGTTTCAGTGGGGAAACAAGACTGAGTTGACCACGTGATTTTCCGAGCAGCCCCAGGAACACCAAGAAAATTAGACGTGCCCAAGCGGCTTTTCTTTTACCTTGCATGGTTCTGGTGACAAAGGCTTCCATGGTGCTGCCATAATCTCTACTGGACTGTTGTAAATATGCAGGGCCCCACAAAAATGTGCTGCTGTGCATCGAGCATGCTACTTCTACTAGCTAGGCTGTGTGTTCTGGCTACCGTTGCTTAGCGAACCGCTGAGTTAGCCTCGGCAGACATAGCAGGGTTTACTCTCAGGTTCTTTGTTCTGCACAGTGCGTTTCTACGGTCACTGCGGTTTTCATGTCGTCACTGCCACGGATGGTCACCCTACGGCCGCATGTTTGCCGTGAGCGAGTACCTTTTTGCATAAACGATGGAGTCATCCCCCTCTATGCGACGAGTCTCCTGGATGTTCTGGCATATGGATTCTCAAACTTGGTTCTGTGAGCGACAGAATGCGTGCAACCCGCTCCTATTTTACCCCATTAGCAACTAATTTGTTTAGACAAGTGAGGTTTCATTGCATTTCATATTTAAAAATGCCATTGCACTTTAAATCCACACATCAGTGTGTGCAGGTAGCGAGACGCCCTCTTGGTAGTAGGACTCGTCTTGCATGCTATGAAATTTCACGATTTGCGAACCTGTGCTGGTGTAACGTGCATTCAAACCAGTTTAAACGATTTTAGTGGGCATCTCAGCGTTATGTTCATGAACGCGTCGGCGATCACATGGCATAGTTTTTATAAATGTGATTTCCCACTGCTCCATTTTGTAATCAAAACTTGCAACTAGCGTTTTGAGAAGCGTCGCTGCATACCGCCTCTGGGCTACACGAGCTTTTAGGCTTAGCTTTAGGTTTGCCCACTGTTTTGGTCGATGGCCATTCGCAGTGTGCCTGGCATACCATACTATTTTCTTCTTTTTTTTTTTGCAACAAATCTATTCTCTGCATGTTCGGCAGTTCGTTCGCCTGGACAACTTGATTACTTGCAAATGCGGTATGAGCGCTTTACACGAGGCAGAGCAGTTCAGGCGACAATTGCAGTTCTATCTATTATCAGTAGTTCTATGTCAACACTGATCGCTTTTGGTAATGAATAAAATAAAAGAGGCCAACATGGGCAGTATTACTAATGCGTATTAATGTGCGTCAAGAGGCACTATCACCTAGTATCATTCGCCCATCACGTAGTGCCATATGCATGCGCTTTCCTGCAGCGTCCGGAAAGTGGTTACAAGTGAGGGCGAGCTGCCCCTCCCTGGAATTTTAGATAATGCTTTTCTATGAAGCAGCAATAAACTACAGAGCTTGATTAGAATACTCAGGCCCCGGCCTTCAGGAGTTCCAGCCAATTTGGCACGTTACGCACGATTGACTACTATTGACAGTCATGTCAATGACGGCATATAAAGAAAGGGTGCTAGTGATAAATCATCCCCCCCCTGCGGACACCTTTGCACGTTTTACAAAATGATTAATGATGCAAAGTTTCTTGTCACCGTGCCGCACTCTTGAAAGCGCATCTGACCAGATATAGAAGCAGACGTACAATAAGTCAAAGCAGTAAAATGCCAAATCATGTCACTGTTCTTAAGCGGAGGCCTACTGTTGCGTAACTGTAATTGTTGCACAATCACATTTTTTTTTTATTTTTTTATAAATGTGATGCTTTTCTTTTTCAAATGTTTCTGGAGAACCTAGTCTTTTTAAACCTTTTTTTAGTGTTATTTCAGATGTTTGTTACAAAAAGGTAGTGAAGCTCGTATGTGGTAATAATCTGTTCAAAACTTTCTTCAAAATCTGCTTCAGTGTTACGTGTATTATAAACCAATTAAAATATACACTTGTGCTCCCACGCTACTCAAAACTTGTTTTTTCAAGCTCTGAGGACGACATACTAATGCCGCTAACTGCTCCAAAATTAAAATTTTGCTGCTCCTACAACTGCTCCCAATTCAGTCTCAGCCGTCTTACCCCTGTACAGACAGTGCATGACACGTATAGCTGCTAAATGGGGACAGCTTCCAAATGCCTGCTGTCTAGTCTGAGCAGACTTTTTGAAGATGCCTCAGCACGGACAGTAGACAGGCAAGTGCACTTTTCCACTCAAGTTTGTTGCCCACAGGGGGGTGGGAGAATGTCTATGAGGGAGCATTGATGGT